GTGTGTGTGTGTGGAGTGTGTGTGTGAGGAGTGAGTGTCTGTGTGAGGAGTGAGTGTGTGTGTGTGTGTGCTTGTACGTACATGTGTGAAATCGATCTATCCAAAGCAATATGGTGCATGCACAGAGGTGCCATGGAAGAGACATGCTTCCAAGACAACCTGCTGTATGAGGTATAAGTTGTTGATATAGTGGATGTGTTCATGGTTTTTTCTGAGTTGACGCATGTAGCTGTTGTGTTGACTCTGCACATGCACACCTGAACGCATGCGCCCTTGCCTGCGCGCATGGGTACGTCTATACATCTGACACAGCTGCAGTCGAAACCCGCCATTACTTATCTACTCATAACAGGTTGCAAACGTATTTCGGGCACATGTTAACGCTGACGAGCCCAGTGACTTAGTTTCCCAGACTCTAAACCGGCACGTAGTCACCACATCATCGCCCGTGCAGGCGCACGCCCGCACAGATACGCGCACACACGCGCGCACACACGCACGCACACACAAACACGCACACACACGCGCGCGCACGCACACGTGCGCACACACACACACACATATACACACACACACACGCACCCACACACATGCCTGTAGATGAGCACCTGGAAACAAGAACCCGAACCAAACATACGCCCACGGTTTGCAGGCAGTCCACAAGGCCCTTCGAACAAAGCTCCCTCAGCCGCAGCCGATACCCTCGGACTCCCACCGCAGTGTTGGGCTGTTTTGGCTTGGTCTCCGATTCCGCCATCGAAGACAATTTCCCTTTCGGGATTCATGGTTTTCATATTGTACAGTTAGGATGCAGGACTCCGAATTTGAGGTTTGCCTTTGCCGGGTTCAGGTTCGAGGCCAGTTGATTATAAGTCATTTTGCTCTCTCACACTTCAGTCTTTCAGTTCGTCTTGCGTAGTTTGGCATAGGGAAGCTTGACTTGAGCCACATTGATACATCGATGAGGAGTCCAGGAATGTCCGAGGCCGTTTGCGTGCTGTCGTCGGCGGTCGTCATCGTCATTTGCCGATGAAAGCGACATTGCCTTCAGACTGAGATCTCGCGAGTAGACGGGAGAATGACATTGAACGTTCTAGTGTTCCTGTGAGGTGAATAGGGTAACTGAGGATGTCGGTTTTATTTTGTGAAAGTCTTCTTTAACAGAGCTATTGCCGCCGTCTTTTAGCACATCCGATTGCCAGGGCATCCAAGGCCGTAGCCTCAGTCTTAATGAAATCGTCAATGCATGCGATTAGCAGCAAATCGTATCCATGATGTTGGGGTTTAAGGGTTCAGGGCTCAGTTGGTCGGCGAGGGACAGGGTGTAGTGACGGTGTACTCCATGGAGCGGGATTCCATCAGAGCAGGGCAGATGTCTTTTAACATTCTCTGTGCCAGTCCGTGCTTGTCATGGAAAAAGATCGAGCAGGTTTGGGAACAAACCCAATCTCAACACCCAAAATATGCTGAGTCGGTGGTCATGGCGTCACGTCTAGCTGTTGCAGTCCTTCTTCCTCGCCGGCAGAAGACATTTTTCTTACTGGATCATCCCCACCAAGCAGTTCGGCAACCGGACTTGCAGCGAAGACTTGCTTCTCAGGTAGGGTTGGCTCCCAACTTCGTTTTGCACAGTCTTTCGCCGTCTATCTGGCCCAAGAATTGGTACCCTTTAGGCATGAGCCAGTAGCCAGCGCAGAGGGTTCGCGGAAGAAGGGGACGGACAGGTTGAGACGGGTACCACCCACAAGAAGAATATCAAGCCCAACTCCTCTGCAGCACAAGCGAACACCGAAATTCTTATTTTGCCGCAAATGGCGATGGTGCCATTAATATGGGTTTCATGTTTATCAACCAAGTCTCCAAGTTTTCGGGGTTCAGCACCTTAAGCTCCAAGATCGAACTTCCGGAGTAGCCTCGTCAAGGGTGACCTCTGCTCTCCGGCCAAACGGTCGGTGGTTTTCACCTTACGGGCACTCTGGATCTGTTCAGCTGTGTGGGATTTTCCCCGCTCGCAACACCGAAGGTGTGCCTCCCTCAGTTGTGGGGCAGGAGGTCGTTCGTTTCGTGTGCCTGTCCCGGTCCGACTGTGCTGAACTTTAAGCCGTGTAGCTCTAACTTTGCAAGGGCCGCATCGATTGTGGACATGCCAACCTCTCCTGGGTTTCCGATACTGCGTCAATCGCTACGTAGGCCCCAAAACGCTACCGAGGTTGCTCCCGGCGTGTATGGCCAGCAGCGGTCAGCAGTCCAGAAGAGGCACACTGACACCGGCGCTAGAGCAGCTGGAAAGTGATGGTAGTGGTGGCGAGCAGAGCAGCGGATTTGCACTTTGTGTGCAGGCCACTCGAGTAGCTGTGATTTTCGCCATGAGCTGCCTTTCTAGTTCTGCGAGTGCAGGGCACTTGGCTCAAACTATTCGAGACCGAACTCGTTCTTCTCGTTATCATCTTCATCCGTCTCTGGCCGCTGCTCCTCATCATCATAATCTCCCACCATCGCAAGCGTGGTCTTCGTGATCGACATGCCATCACTCGAAGTAGGTTCAATCAGATCAGCAAGCGACAAAAAGCACGACAAAGAAGTCAACTGGATGTGCATGGTGGCTTTAGCCCTAGTTTCTTGCTAGGTGGCTTTCTCAACTTGCGACTTCAGCCGCCATGATGGTGAGACCCGTGGGGAATGCAGACCTGCCGTCTGCTGATTGGGGCTTCGTTGGTGCGACCGTGGCAGGCTGCCTACATGCCTTAGCGATGGCCTTGAGGAAGAAGTTCGGCCACGGCACACAGCACTACTACAGGGAGCCGCGGTGGTGGATAGGGGTAGTGACAGACGGCTTGGCAGGAGTGGTTTTCAGCTTGGTGACGCCCTTTCTGGCTGTGGAGATCTTGCTCCTGACTACATCCGCCTCTCAGCTGGCCTGTGCATATGTGCTTGGCCTCTACATGTTCAATGAGCACGGCAACATGTGGCAAAGGGTGGGCTTTGGCCTCACGGCGACTAGTGTGATACTGTTGAGCTTCTCTAAGCAAGAGAAGGCGAGTCCAGCTACCCACTTCTGGCCAATGTGGCTGCAGCCTCACTTTTTACTGGCCAATGGTGGTTGGTTGCTTGTCGCTGGTTTCTGCTTTGCAATCATAAGCGACAAGAATGGCTATGCGGTGTTTGCTGCCTACGTGGACGGTGTCCAGTTCTTATTCACTCGACAGCTGTCACAGAACCTTGAAGGACCCGGAGGATTGCACATGGACGCGCAGTTCTGGGAGTTTGTCGCATGCAAAGCATTTTGTGTCATCTCGGTGCTTCATCTGCAGCAGTGTGCCCTTGCAGAAGACAACTTCTCCGGCTTCAAGAGCATTGGGACAGTCCTTCCCTTGCTGCAGAATCTGACGACGTGCTCTTTGGGTGCTACCTTCTTTGGTGACACTGTGAAGGTGACCGTGCCTGTGGTGTGTGCCCTTGCCCTAGCACCCGTCGGGATGTGGCTCTTAGCACAGACGCCGGCTGTCAGACGCAGATCTCAGCTCGCTGAGCAACCAACATGTGAGTCTCGACTGGCCGAGCCGGAGACGTGAGGGTCTAAATGTCAAGGCGGTCAAGAAGGGCTGTGGAACGCCAGGGGATGACGATGAGGGCGGCGAGGATGCTGCTGGTGACGGTGATGAGGATGATGCTTCAGTTCTTGATGCTGCTGTTGCATGTGATTGCGGTTTCTGCTGTTGACGATGTCCATCAGCATGATGCAGCTGAAAAGAGAAGACTCGGCTGCATCCTCAAGTCTCTGACCCACACTGACCACAAGCCTGCTTCCCGACAGCAGGTACGGACATTAACAGGAAGCTTTTCCATCAGCCCTTCACGAGCCAGGCCTTGTTAACACCGGGTCCGCACTAGCCGTCTCCAGCACCAGGCAGTCGAGATGTGCCACTCAACATCGCCATTTGCATCGACATGGCCCCTCGGCGCACCTGCCGCAGAGACGGTGGAAAGAACTGCTGCACGGTGACCTTCAAGATAGCCCAACATAGACGTGCACTGCTCTCCGTCTTGTCATTTCTCCTTATTTGGGGCACTGTGGAGGAGGCCCTCAAGCAGCCACTCGAACATCAGTCCCGTGCTCGAGGATCCTTTCATAGGTAGACCGGTTTAGAGTCTCCAATGCTTACATCAAGGAACGGAGCCCGAAACCCGAACATGCCCAGCATCCAGGGTCCGCGCGTCTGCAATTGCAATTAGGGGTCGACGATGTGGGTGATCGCCAGGTATTCCTGTAGGGACCAGAACGCATAACTTGATGCAATCCGCCCAAGCTTGTGGGATCTCAGGAGCCCAAATTTGGTCCAGTACTGCTTCCGTTGACCATTGAGACGCCGCCCATGTGCCTGTGGCCGCATGTCGTCGATACTTGCCGGAGCCTCCTCACATCAATACAACAGCACATGATTCCGAACTGTGGAGGACCTGAAATCCAAAGCTACCAAGGTCTTCTGAAACTGTAAGGTGGAGGGCCTCCAAGAAGAACCGTCCGGTTTGGACAAAGCCAAGAAAGAGTGAGAATCGAAAGGTTAGGGGTGTTGGAGTTCCCGATCTTGTTCAACACTCACAAATGATGCCTTCGATGCTACATGAGTCGCAGGGCCAGAAAGCAGGCGGCGGCCCGGAAATCACAAGAGTAGTTGGCTTCAGGATATCAGGCTGCGAGGGTTCTTGAAGGCGCAGGTCCTTGACCCCTTGATGCCAACTTCGCTGAACTTCTGGTCCCCGAGCCCCTCAAGCTGAAATCATCAAGCCGAGGCAGCTTCGTTTTTTGAAGATTCTTGGCGACGTGCTTGAAGCATGCCGACATGGAGCCGTATGTCGGGAGAGCGACCCTCGGCGTTCCATTCAAACTGTTTTTGTGAGACATGAAACCTTTCACCAAAGACTGCTTGCATCTAAGCCGGGAAATGGCAACGGGCTTTCCATAGGTTCGGCGCGACCGTGACAACACGCTTCAGGCACTTCGAGTAGCTTGAGTGTGCGTAGAAGCGTAGAGGCTTTTACTTGTAGCTATGTAGCTTGGGTCTACTTCAATAAAGTCCGGAAGAGGTCAGCTGGAACAAAGCCAGTTTGCAGGCTTGCCACTGGCAATACTAAACAGGTTTTGTCAACGGAACTTTATGCGGGAGCCAAAAACCGGAACTTTTTGTGGGCAAGTTTGGCTTTGGGCACGGACAGCCAAACAGGCTTTGGAGCTGCAAAACTGGTTGCGGGGTTTCAACGCTGGCTTCTTTGTGCGCGAAACTGGGTTTGCTGACGCAACTCCTGTTAAGACCAGGATTGGTCGTAGCAGCAGGTTTTGGCTGAGCGCACCCTCAACATGTCGATTTGCTTCATGTTGCTAGAACGTTCAGGGTCGCTGCCATTACTAGCCTTACCGATGGCAGCCAAGGACCGGATCAGCTTCAAGCAAGCCACTTGGCGAGAGAAGATCGCGAAAGATCTTATGGGGCACTCAAGGGACTCAGTTTACTCCTGCTGTGCTTCCTTGAATGCTTTAAGTTTGGGAGGACAGGTCTGATCGGGGAGCTTTTGCTTCGTTGTCGCGCAGTTTACAGTTTCACAGGTTTCGTTACCCCTGTTCATTCCAGTTCTCATCACCACCTGCCATATGTGTGCCTCTTGGTGCTTGTCCACTGCTTGTACGTAGCCAAGGCCGTCGACAAAGCACGAACCATCTCCGCAAACTCGGTGTTCAATTCCAAAATCAGGCTGGGACACGATTCCAGACTTGGGATGTGGGGCTTAGAATGCAGGCATGCTTCAGCGGACTTCGAAAAGGATGTAAGACGTCGCGAGACACCAAAGATCCTCGTCAACAACGGCCAATTCTTGGTTACTGGTTCCCGGCTACGACCGACATCTCGAAATTCCAATCATTGGCAGTAGAGTTCCTGCTCCTGTTGTCAGTACCCTTAAACATCCCACTGCTCCTACCGTGATAGTTAGAGCAATGAGGTAACTTAGTGGCTACAACGTTGGATTGCTGCACTGAACATATTCGCAATCCCATCAAAACGGAGAAGTGAAAGCCGCCAATGCCAGCTTGGAATTTCTCTGCCGTGAGAAGGCGCGGCTTCACCGCTCCTACCGGGCCACGGCTTGCGCCAACGGAGTTGCAGGAGAGGCAGCCGCTTGACTCACATTCCGAGCTTGTAGGTTGGCTGCTCAATCTGGCAGTTTACAGGCTTTGAGAACCTACGGTTGAAGTGTTTGAGACTTGATGGAGTTTGCAGGCTTGCGGTTTTAGGGGTGTAGGCCCCAAGACATATCTGCAGTCCTTTCCCGTACGTGGAGATGCGCAGGCAGTCTACGTTCCGGGACGAAGCCAGCTGTTGAGTTCGCATGGGGTTAAACGGTGCAGGGCTTCCAGCTCCGTTGCTTCTCGGTTGGCCTGTCACCTGACTTGTCCTTTGGTGCCAAGGGATCACAAGATGCCGCCGCCACGGACGAAGAGCCTCCATGGCCCAGCCCTTCGGCTCAACAGCTCCTCCGATTTCCGCAGCTGCTAGCTATTGCCGGGTATAGTATTGCGCCGGCTATCATTTGTGCTGCTTGCTGCTGCTGCTGCTACGATGACGACGGCTTGTACTGGATGCTAGCTTTAGTAGTACTACCACGACGACAGTCTGGTATGCTGGCTTTGCAGCATGGTGGTTCGAGGTGGACGGAAGCTATGGTGTTTACTGGCTCAGGGCTGGAATGTTGGAATTAAGAGCGTGGTCGACCTCTGTCGCCGCTTAATCCATTCAGACCCTGAACCGTTCGGTGTGTCGGAAGGCCTGCTGGGCCGGTCTCGGCCTGCTATGCGAGAGCTCAAGCAATCCTTAAGCTTGAACCTCGAGCTTGCCCTTATCTCAGGCACGTATGCTCACCCAGATGGGGGGAAATATTGAGATGAACCCCATTGCCGAAAGCTCGGAGGCCTTGGGTTCCCACTTCCCCTTCCGTGGCCAAAGAAACTTGCTCTTGCTCCTGGCTATGCCGACGGCCCTTTTCAGATTCATCGTAAGAATTGGTTGCGTGGCAGTGCTTGCACTCGAGAACATGGAGAGGTGAAAGCTGCAGTGAAAAAATCAGCCTCCAACATCGCTTTTCAGGAGGATTCCCTGGAGCTGTCGAATGAGAAGCCAGTGCGAGCAGTCACTTGTGGTCCCTGGGCGCAGCATGTAGGAGCTTTTGAACAAATTTTGTCGTTGACCTGTATACGCACCCTGCAGACAGCAGGATCCTCAGTTGCCGGTGCACTTGCGTTGTGTTCTGTTCTAGTGGAACCAAGGAAGGGGAGGACGACATGCGTAGAGTGGGAGCAGCAACAATATTAGGAGGGAGGAAGTTCTCTCGCGAAGACACGGACCACACACTGGCTCAGCATCAATGTGTTCTGAGATTTGTTTCTTTCGCAGCTTGTATCTCACGTGGCCAGCGAAAACGACTGAAGGATAAGTGGTAGAACGCATCGTGTGACCCGTACTTGCATCATGACGCGTATTTGCTCAGGATGAGGATGATGACCAGGTTGATTACTTTGTGCATGAGTAATGAGTATGTTTTAGACGAGTGTGTTTCACAAATGGTATTGTAGAGTAGAGTGAACAGTCGGTTTTGTGTTCGTACAGACATACAGTCACGCACACCAACACATGGTTGAAAGCTGCCTTCATAAAGATGTTGCGCGAGACCCGGGGGACACATGCTATGCCGGACGATCATGATCCAGGGGAACTCTCCCTTGAAAGCATAGGCACGGGTTGCCACAGTACAACAGCCGTTCAGGGTAAGGCTGGTAACAGAAAACTGCAGCAGAGATGCTGTATGTTCTCGTAATCGATGTATCTAACACTAGCAATACTCCCCGTCGCAGCCCTAGCCGGAGCCGGAGCAGTAGACATACAAGTGTCCCCCAAAAATGTAGCAGGGCTGAGGCGCTCGTGATAGTCACGCAAAGGCAAGAGCCCCTATGCCAAGATGAATCTGATCACTTCATGAAACTATGATTGTTCTGTTAAAGCCAAAACTGGCGTTCTTGAACGATGTACCTGCAGACCCACGAGCCGAAGCTGCCTCGACCAGGCCATCTGGCGCCTCCCGAAGACAAGCAGGCTTTGGAACAAGACGGCTATCGTCAGGGCCACGTACTGCAGTTTCTGCTACAGCAACATTTGCAGACTGCAGCACTCTCAAGGTAGTTTTTGCATTCTGCTTACAGGCATAGCGGTGTCCGCAATAGTTGTTGTTGGAGCATTGCCCGCATTGTTCTTCCTGTTCTGCTCAATCGGCTTCAGCAGTGCTGCTGTTGCTGCTCGTTGCTGTTCAGTAGCAGCAGCACTTCACGTTCGATATATGCCATATAGGCGCACTACAAACCTTTAAGGCCCGTAAGATCTCAACTAAGCCTTGATAGTTTACGGCAATTTAGGGTTTAGGGCATAGCCGATTGAACTTTCGGTATCACTTGTAGACAGGCCGGGGCCTTGACCGGAGGTTTGAAATCCAGCATGAAGGCTATGTTTCGGGTTTAGGGTCCTCGGTTCGTTTCACTAGAGGGACCGATAATTCAGCCTCCTTTTCTGGATCCTCGGCCTCTGGTTGCAGGGTCGTGTGCCGGCAGCCAGCAAGTTCTGCTACAAACAGGATTTGGGGGTTTAGTGTTCAGGGTTGTGCGGGTTTGGGGTTTCCGGCATCGGATTTCGGATGTTGGTTATGGTCATGGCTTAGCTCGAGTTCAAGGGTCCTCGAGTCTGAAGTTCGCTGAAGGACTACTCCGCCTTAAGGGGGGCTGTGACTCGGGAGGATTTCGGGATAGGTCTCTCCCTGTAAGGGTTTCTCAAGCTATCCTAACCTCTACACTTTACACTCGATAACTTCCTGCTTGCTAGGGGGATGTCCCGCCGAAGGGCATATGAATTGGGATGCCCTGCAGCAGACCTGACAGTTCCGCGTTTGTTGTTAACGCACTACGGAAAGGCAGGGAAATCCGAAGCGGCGAACACCTGAAGCCCCACAGACCTCTTGAATACAGGATTTGGGTTTGCGTGAGCACATCTTCGCAGGTCCATCGCCCTCGTAGCTTGGGGGACTTGCGGGCCTTCGACTTGGCAGAGCAGGTCGAAGCACCGGCTGAGAGTTCTAGCTTGTGCTCGGGGCTCCTGGATGAGTTCACCTCCCCCTATAGATGCCGACACGGGAAAACACTGAAGTTTGCTGATGCTGACAGGCACGTATGATTCCGGGGTTCGAAACCGCAAGCCCGACCTGGTAGCATCGAAGAACAGGAGACGGTACGTTAAGTCAGGATGCCAGTTGTGATTAGGGATTCTGTTTTACTATGTAGACAAACCTGCCAGGCAAAAACAGTCACAGTGTCAGTAACTGCACATCGCAAAGCGAGATATCCTTTTTGTCAGTAGAAGAAGACAAGAGCAGCCCGCATAATGGCCGTAGCACTGTGAGAAAGGCACGTCAGATCCGCTAGTCTTGAACAGCAGGTGTTCTGTACCGGAAACATGCCTACAGTCTTACAGGTTCATGTTTACAAAAAAGCCGTCTCCCGACACGGCATTATGACCAGCATTGCACCGGCCACAGCACCAGTAGAAGCACCAGAGCCACCCACAAGAAAAACCAGCAGCGCCAGCAGCACCGGCGGCAGCAGTGCAATTGTACCAACGACGAACTCATTAGCATCAGCATCAGCATCAGCAGTTAGGCCCACGCACGCCACAAGCATCGTAACAGCTGCAATATCAATCATCTCACTGATGTCCAAGTGTGCAGCATTCGTCAGCGCACCCGCAGGAGCAGTCGGACGACGAAAACAGCCCGCGGCTTTCATTACCTGGTGCCTTCCACAGATTGCTGCATTGCCCACAGGGATATGGGCTTACCGGGGACCTTCTGGTGAACATTAAGCATAGTGCGATGTCTCGAATCCTGGTGTGGCTGCACATGGAGGGTATCCTTGAGGTGTTCGTTGGAATAACCGAAGGTCGGACTCATGTTGAGTTCTTGAATTTTAACGCCGTGCTGACGATGCCTATTGTTGATTGTTCCGCCTTCTTATATGGTGGTCGTTGCCATGAATATGTGATGTCTTGCATTGCCACTACTTGCGGTTGTGATGAATGTAAGATTTCCTGCATGGCTACGGCCCAAGTGCTTCGGCTCCAAACTCTTCAGCCGACTCTTTAGCCCTGACGCCAGCTACAAATGTTCGCCAAGGCGTTGCCGTCCGCGGGTAAGTTGCGCGGTTGGCTCAAGAGGAGACTAGTGATGAACACCGTGATCAGGCCGACGAATTCGAGCCAGCGTCCGATCACCTTCGCCAGTGAAACGGTGCCCCAACAACAACTGCGAACATTCTGCGACCAGGGAGGTCCTCCCAAAGAGAACAAGGCAGACTTGATCCTAGCGAAGGATGAGGAGACACGACCGTTCGAGGCCTCCCCTGCCATGGTCGAACATGACGCCGACACCAGCAAAAAGCGCGAGGCCGAAGCGGCCTCAGATCAGGCCAAAGCAGCCTCAAATCAGGACAGCAATGGCTACTGGGGCTGGCTGTGAAAGGGCTGGCAGGGGCCCAGGCGGAGGTGGACAGTGCGAGAGCAGCGGCGCACTTTGCGGAGGAACGCTGGCGACAAGCCATAGACAACAAAGACGGGGAGCAGGACAGTAAGTGGAAGCAGGAGGTCGAGAAGGCGGAGCAAAAGGTCGAGAAGGCGGAGCAGAAGGTCGAGAACACACAGCAAAAGGTCGAGAAGGCCAAGCAGGAGGTCCAGGCGAGGGCGAGCCCCGTGGAAAGAGACATGAGCACATTCCTGGCATCCATAGGCTGTGGGGCAAGCTCAGTGTCATGCAGCTACCATCAGAAAGAGCTCGTAGCAAGGCTGGTTCTGGAAAGAGACAAAACCAAGTCAGAATTATTGGCGGCGCTCGCGAAATTGACCGGAATCAGTGGGCCAGACAGGACTGCTGCCGAGATCATGGCCACAGCTGGCATTGGTGGTTCTGGCAAGAGCACATTTTCCAACCTGATACGCTTCGGAGTGGATAGCCAAGATGGTGCGCAGTCGTGGCGTAAAGATGTGGAGAACGCATCCGAAACGGACATCACAAGATTGCAAAGCTGGTCGTTGTGATGGCAACGACGAACCGACCCACCGACTTTGACGAAACCGAAGCAGCAAGCAAGGATGACGCAACGAAGGCAGTTATCAAGCGCTTGGTAGCAGACTACACGAATGCGGACTGGATGCTGGTCAAGACAAGCAGTTGGCCTGTTGGAATAGGCAACCTTGCGGGCTTCGACGAATGGCTTCGTGATCACGAAAGTGAGGCAAATCTCTACTTGTTGACGAGGCCTTATGGCACATGGGCCGTGTAGAAAGCAAACCATGTACCTGGCTGTGCGTCTAGTGTCCAGGTCTGTTCTGTTGTCGGTTGTTCCTGCTTGACTTGCCGCACATGTCTGAGCGTCCTTAAACGTTTGCTGTGCTGCATGTTCAAGTGTTGACCCTCAAGGTCTTGCTTGCCCTTTCTCAAATTTTGCCCCGCCCTCCCGCCGCAATGGGGGTTGTGGGTTTTTAATTGTGCCTAACCCCGGCACTCTTTTCTTGCTTTCCACATGCAAACCGTGTGAAGGGGGATTGTGTTCTTGACCCCAGCAGTGAGTGTCATTGCAGCTTCGCATGCAAAGCATGCTCCCTCTGAACCTGCCCGACCGTATCGCCTTCGCGGCGGAAAAACAGAGAGTCGCGCGGCATGCGAGCATACTCTCCATTCTGTCCGAACTGTCTGCATTAGGAGTCTAAGGACGGCATGATCTCTGTTTGCAGGTGTTCTACGCGTGGGCATTGCAATAAGGCAGCAAGCTTGAAAGCGATGAAGTTGCGCTTCTTATTCTACTGGAGGAAGCAGTAGGCTCGGAGGTGCGGCGACATGTCGTCGACAAGCTCGCAGAAGTCCAACAGCAGGAGCTAATTGCTGGCCGGACGTCGCTGGTGTTGGTGACATCGCTCGACGTAAGCACCTTTAGAGAAATGACGGAGGAATCCATGCGAGGCATCAGGGTCTCCCTTGCCATTACCTTTTTCCAGGGTTCTGAAGCCTCCGCTTTGCGACAAAACAAACTCGATGTTTGCGTTGATTGTGAATTGCATGTCTGCCAGTATTTGAACCAAAGCCGAGAGTGTACCTGATCTAACAACCAAGTTGAATTTCGCGGTGGCCACGACGCTGATGCAGTGCTGGAACTGTTGATGGCTTTGTTGCATGACCCTGACCATTGGTTCAAGGAGACCGCCTGCTTTGGGGGCACCATGTCCCTGCGTCCTATGGCACACCAGCACATGGTTATCTACCGGGCAGTGGATTACGATGAGCAGGTCGTGAAAGTGCAAATGCTGGCAAAGTGCTTCGCGATATCGAGAAGGAAATGTTGTTTTTTTCGTGAAGCCCATCTTCTACGAGATCTCACATCGCGGTCTCTGCAAACATCTGCGTTTCAGAAGTTATTCTGGGAAAGAGCAACCCCCCAAGGAAAGGGATTCAAGGGACCGGTCACATTCTTCCTGCAGATGAAAATGTGGAATCAACTCCGTCCGAGCAACATCAAAAAATGGCAGGAAGACGCTCAGAAGGTAGCCCAGCAGTTCTTCAACAGTGAGGAGTACGACAAGTACTACATTGTTCTTTGCGTGTCTCGACAGATGCAGCAGCTTAGCCCCCCGCGACCCCCGCTCAGACTGCTCATTGAGCAGAAGGCAGGAGGAAAATGAAAGGCGTTGACAGCTCCTCGCGCAAAGTTCCAAGTTTCACCTGATGTTTTTGCTTGCTCTTGACGGCAAGCAAGTCTTGTACCGCGGGCTGCCAAAAAAGTTTCCTGCAGGTCCGGGAGCATCATGAGTCATGACGTGTTGCAGGGTCGCCCATATGCGTCAGACAGATCTGGCTATTGTTGAGAGGCATGGCAGGTATTGCGGTTTCGGGCTTGTGTGAGTCAATCGGTATGCAGTGGGGCCAGTAGTGTAGCCCGCCGGAAGGCTAGGAACATCTTTCTCCGAACAGCTTGCTCGGGTTTGCAACCGAGCATGATGTGGACATGGATGCACATATATGCGCTTGTATGGCTATGCGGTAGAATACGTGTCAATGTGTGCATGCTTGCTTGTACGGGATGAAAAAGGTGTGCCAGTGGGAAAGATGGTCATCATCGAGCGCACAAGCACGCCATCTTTCGCAAAATTTTTTTCTGCATACCTGCAAGCTCTGATGCGCTGGAATTCTAAAGACAACGGTACGAAGACAACCATAGAAGAGGCTTGGAGCGGGCCCGGACAAAACGAGTTAAGGTGTCCGGATTTTTGAGTACATCTGACAAAACACGGTGTCCAAGTGTTCGGCGATATGATATGCAAATTCAGCTGTGCAGAGCCGAGAAAAGTGCGCCTTTTCCGAAGAGAGCAAGTACATGCCACGTTTATCGTTCGATGGATATGGCTTGGATCCTCCACCCTTTGCATTAGCCTAACCACCGAGTCCTGTACAGTACCCAAAAAAGAGCCAGTCATGACAGCCTAAACTAAACCGAAAAGATTGCCTTATCAAGTCGCATCGAGCTGCCCCCTGAAAGCCATAGTAATCGATGCTGCCAGGGGATGCTTCCAGTGATGAGGAGGGTGGATCCCCGTCGGCAAAAGGGCACGTGCTGATGGGTCGTGTTGCCGAGGTTACGAAAGTGTTCTTTAATCGGAGTCTTCAAGGTTTTGGAACTATCGGGGCAGCATGGTAACTCCTTCGGCTTTCGCACCTGTTGACAAGCTTGGGGTCCGGTTTCGACTAAACTCGGAGCAACGCACTGTCGCGGCTAAAGCTTCAGAATCTGATCGGATTCGTGGCAGTTGAAGCATTTGCTGCTTTACTAGAGGCTGCTACTGACCTTGCTTCTGCTGCTGTGCTGCCACCATTCCTGCCACTGCTGCCACGGCAAATGCTGCGGTTCGGTGCTGCTGCTGCTGCTGCTGCTGCTGCTGCTGCTGCTGCTGCTGCTGCTGCTGCTATGGGTGCGAATACCTTGAATTCCGAATCACGATCTTGTATCCTCCAGAGTTCCTAGTCCTACTGTCGCCTTCCTGGCTTTTCCTGGTCAGTTCCCGTCGGGCGCTGTGTGGTTCACTATGAAGCCTCAGCCCCCGACTCGGAAAGACTCCGAAGGTGAGTCTGAGATGAAGCGAAAGGCCTTTCCCGGCTCTCGGGCTTCTTCCGAGCCCTCGTAGACACCAAGTGTTCAGGCTGAATGGCTCACAGAAACAGGGCTTGAAGCTTGTGAGGTGCTGACTCAGGTTACCGTCCAATTGTATGGTCGTGAGTACAAAAGAAGAGTGCTGAAGTAGCAGAAAGGGTGCAAGCCATGTCCTTCCCACGCGTCGCGTTTGCTGCCGCACTCCTTGGGGTCAGTGTTTTGAGCTACAGCCCCTGCGATAGTCAGGAGGAGGATGACGAGTCGGCGATGTTCATGCACCCGCCGCACATCCGAAATTCGAGCATCTCTTGTGCCACGGTTCACATTTATCGACACTGCGTACGATCAACGGCTACGAAGGTGAAGGGGGCTCACTATGATGACCTCGCACACTACACAGACTTGCCGCTGCCTGATTGGAACGCGCCGATGAAGTGGTGCACCGACCAAGGTGCTGCACTTATCAAAAATGAAGGAAAGAAGCTGAGGCAGCGAGAGCCCAAGATGGATCTGTCGAAGCTGAAGGTAATCGTGGACACGGATCAGCGTGTCGCTACGAGTGCAAATTCCCTACTGCAAGGGCTTGCTGGTCAGGGTGAAATCTTTGCGCCACGGGTGGACTATTTCCCCGTGCTCTTCAATGCCTTCAAACCTTTGGCTGGCGCGTCCGTTTGCAAAACTCCGAGCAAGCAGCTTGAGATAGCACAGAAACAGCAGCGACTGGACACGACACCGATGCCCATGGGTGTCGGTTTTGCTCACGACATGAACCAGACAAGGTACAACGAAGTGTTGGAGCTTTTTGAGAAGTTATTCGGAGTTGGTGCTGCAGGCTCTCTAAAGCAGATGACCAATCCACCCATCATCGACAACCAGTCAGGACTCCTGAAAGGGGCTCCTGTCGTGCTGAAGCTTCTTGCAACGAATCTGATGTTTGCTTATGCATCTAACATTACCATCGCAACCCATGTGCCAGTAAGCCGGGATCAGATCTTCGAGCTCGGCGCCTGGATTCATTGGCAGCGTCGGGTCACACAAATACCGGCCCATTTTGTGCCAAAGAAGGCTTGTGGCGCTCTTTCTATCATTGCTACGCTTCTGGGCAAACCCAGGCAGAAACATGCCATCTACGTGGGGCATGACAGCGATCAAGATGCCTTGGCACACTTTTTTCAGATTACATGGAAAGCGCCTCCTTTCCCCGTATGGAAACCGACACCTCCGGGGTCATCACTGCGCTTCACGTCCTTAGGTGACAGCACAGCTTTGGTGCATTTCACATACCAGGTCTTCGACTCCTCAGACGACCCTGATGTTAAGGTAGTGCCCACCTTGCCTGGCCGGGTGAACTTGTTTGAAGTCAAAGCCTTCATCGAGATGCAAATCACGGACTTTGCAGGTGAAGAGTGCTTGAAAGTTTGCACCTCTCTGAGTGCGAACATGTGATGGGCCGCTGGAGACCAGATTCCAGGAGGTACAGGTCTAGCCATGAATCTTAGATCAATTTCACCCTTTGCCGACTCGAGTGCGTCGATCGCTTAGCGACAAGCTGGCGTGCTGAGCCTGCGACCCTGCCCATCCGAAACCAAAAGCGATTTCCTGCTCACGGAGGCAGCGCTTCATGGGTTTTGTTTGGAAAATCTACAGTAAGCCCCAAGTACATGACCAGAAATTGCAAAATGCAAATTTCTAATCCCAGGTCTAGAGTCAAGATTCAAGGGCAGAGAGCGAAAGATTGCACCGAGGATCGCCCATCTTGCCGCTGCTGCAGCTCATAAGCAGCCATGACGACCTGCCGGAGGCTCCACATGACTCTTGCGGGAGCTAGGAAAAGACAGTAATCCAGAGTCGATGATGATGATGATGGTGGTGGTGGCGGTGGCGGCAATATGTGGCGGTGATAGTGCGGATGTTTTTGATATTGTCAATGGAGCGGCATCGTCCAGTGTTTAGAAACCTCCTCGGCACGTCTGTCAGTCTTCCAATCCGTCCAGTCCAAGAGATCTCACCGGGACACCTCAGAAGTGGCTTTGCCCGTCTACGCATTGTACATGGAATCTGTGGTTCGACGTCCTCAAAGCTTGGTGGGTTGATGATCATGTTTCATGTGAGAGTACACGTGGTCGAGCGGCTCAAGCGCATTCTTTTTGTTGTTTTGCTGTAGACCTTGCCGTGGTTCTTGCGTAAAGGGGGCATGCGGTGGCTATGAGACACTAATGAGCATAGATATTTAAAGCAGATGCAAGTACCCGTGTGTCTCGTGCTATGTAATTGAGTCTGCTGGGGAATCCGCAAAACCCGGAAACCATATGCGCATGGAGGCTGCATGGTCAATGCTTCAGGGCAGAGAGCCCAACATGGGTCAAAACCAGGGAAGATCCGCACTTCACCTTTTGCAGCTGAGCCGTCTCAACAAGTGCTCGGTAGCACAAAGCCTAATTAGTAGCTGCAGCAGAAGCACTGTCTGCCATTGCAGTGTGGCATCAAGACGAAGAGGCGGAAAGGCAAGTGGCAGCAGCGGGGGGAGGATTAGAGACAGGACAACAGGTGCATTCGCTACGGTTTCTGCAATAGTGTCGTCAACCGCCAAACCGGAAAACCAACTTTAACTCATCTAGCCGTAAGTCGATTGCTTTCTGCAGGGCAGCGGTGCAATGAGCCCTGTGATGAGAGATGCGGCGCCTGGCTTGAACGGCTGGATCTGTTTTTCTTTCTGTCACATGCACACAATGCCCAAGACCCGAAACCTCGACCCATGAGCCGTGGACCTAGCCAAGCAAGAACCTGTAATGAATCCAAACAGCCAAACCGTGAGATCCTACAGTAGATCTTGCAAGATGCCTTTCAATAGTGGCTCACTGGATTTGAAAGCCATCCTTCTGCTTGTGGGGAGAGGAAGATTCTGGAAATGTCGTGGGTGCTGAAGGGTATTGACAATGTGAATTGGTAGACCCTCATGTGCTGACTTCGTTTGGATGTATTCAAGATGCCTGTTCCTCCCCTGAGTGATTGATCAAGTATCTGGCGGCCCTTTGGACCCGACACTTCCGCCCAGGAGTTTTCTGCTGCCAGCTGCCCCGTGAGTGACCTGCGAGGCCTCCGAGGCTTGCTGGGCCGGGGAAAGCTTCAAGGGTTTAGCGTTCGGGGGCCTGGAACTGTTAGGTTGGGAGCTTGTTGTGACGTCTGCCACGACGGCCTGTGGTTTCGCTCACAGAAGTACCCTCTGCCGGCAAGGTTCTTTGAGTCCACCTCAGCACACAAGCACCTCGGCATACCTTCGCACTTCAGTCTGTGTTCGCTGGTGGTCGTGGCGAAGGTTCCGATGTGGAGTGAGGGAGAATGCCACGCTAGCGACTGCGATTATACTATCACAGTGTTGATAATGGTGATTTTGATGACGATGATGCTGACGGTGACGATGATGATGACGATGATGATGATGATGCTGATGACGATGATGCTGATGATGGTGGCGAGGGCATTACTCAGTGGGTGTTGGCTTGGGGTGCGGAGTTCTGCCGGTTTGAGGCAATAGCTGCAATTATCGTCCCGCTGGTGCTGTATGTTGGGAGTAGGGTCATAAAGATTTCCACTTACATCACCACTTCCATCGGCACTGCTACTGCAAGAAGGATTGCTAGGTTATCCGCGATGATGATGACGACGACTGCAGCAGGACTGGGGCTGCGATGGCGGCGACCATGGCAACGTCGACAACCGTGTTGCTAATACTTCCACTACGACATCCGCTGCGTGCTTGTGGCTGCTAGTGCCGATGCTGCTACCAGTACCACTGTCACTACCGCTATGGCTACCGCTGCCAGCTGCCACTACCACTACCACCAGTTCTCATTGTCGTTTCTACGTTTGAACACACCGCACCCGTCGACCCTCTCTGGGTTTGTTTGACAATGCCTGGCCGAGTCTGCATTCTCAGCTGCCGCTGAGGTCCTCGGGGACAGAGCCCGGACAATTCCGGGGAGCCCTTGATGAAGCAGGCGCAAGTGCCTGCAAATTTCATTGTTTGAGCTTCAGGGCCTTCAGGTCTTCGGGCTTGCGATGTAGACTGCTGTTCCAGGACTTCGAGGTTGGAGGTTTTGGGTCATGTGTTTGCGGTTGCCGACTTAGGGATTCAGTGTAAGTTTCCCAGCCCCAACTCAGTCGCATTTGTGACATTTCGGGATCTACGGCAGAGAGAAGGGCAGCGAATCCTGTCGGAGGTCACTAGGGGTGTGGAGGTGTGTTTTGGGAGTCATGCAATTTTTCTTCCAGCGATGGAACGTTTTTCTTAGGGTTGAGAGCTATCGCTGGCTTGCACATTCGGGCCCTAGGGCTGTGGGGCTGTTATCTTGGAGCAGCACTCAAGGGCCTGATTTTCAGGTTCCGGGGGCTTTTGGACTTTGCGTCGGGGTGGTTCTACGGATGGAGGCTTGATCTTAGTGGCAGCAGTAGCATCATCCTGGGAGATCTAGCAAGACTTCAAGAGGATTCTAGTTGCCAGTGTGCTTATGCCGCCACCAGATGTTGTGGAGGCAAACAGTGTTGATGATGCCGGCAATGAAGATGTGGATGATGTGATGACGCCGAAGATGCCGATAGCGGCAACACTGGTGATGGCGAGAATATCAATAACAAGAAGGTGATGATGACGAGTTTCTTAGAATAATGAGGACTGTGATGCCGCGGCTGTTGGCGAAGATGGTGCTGCCGACGATGCTGGCACAGATTGTCTTTCGATGGTTTGCTGTTCATGCCGAGCATGCTCACGATGGCTACGGTGATGCAGTGGTTAGCTACTACATAGTTCAATGGTTGTTGTGGTTAGCTCAAGTTGTTGCTGCTTCCACTGCTCCACTACCCAGGCACGGTCACCTGTATTGAAAGTTTAAACGCCGAAGCCTTCGATTGCCCAGTTGAGGGACATGGCAGCAGTGTGCTCTGGACGGCTTTCTTCGCGATCAGTTTGTTCAAGCTTGAAAGAGCTTCCAGCAACATTTGTGGTGAAGATGACGCGCAAGCGTGCTGGGACGTGAAAGATGGAAGCAACTGTCGTCATAGTTGTGCCAGTTCTGCATATTGGGAGTACTTGCAAGGCTTAGGACTCCCATTCCGAGATTCGCCAAACTCTGGAGTCAACTCAACTTTCGCATTGCCCGGCCGTATCTTTCATACATACCCCAACCTGAATCCTCAAGCTGACGGGACACCTTCGCTTGAGGTCTCGTTCAGAATGTCAGAGGGCGAAGATGATGACGAGGACATGGATTCTGCGCCCCGTTCCTGTAATCCCAGACCATCTCAAACCCTAGGCCTTCAGGCTCTCGAGCCTTGTGGGGTTCTCAGTACCCTACCCTAAACCAAAACCCCGAGCAAGTGATTTGATGCCCTGCTGCTTGGACCCGGATCTCTTCGCTTTCAATCTCCAGCCCGACTTGACTAGACCCGAGAAGTTATCCTGTGCAAACGGAGACTGTGTCTACTTGTATCTGAACCTATCTCACTCCAACTATGGACATCTATGGTACACTAATATATCTAGATTAGACATTCACACACACACACACACACACATATAGATATATACATATATATATATATATACACACATACACATACATACGCACACAAAAAAGGATATAATATACGCGCACACATACAGACAGACCGACGGACAGACACACCGACGGACAGGGAGACAAACAGACAGGCAGGCAGACGGACAGACCGACAGCCAGATACACAATGCTTATCTATGTGCCAGTAGACCTAATTAGCTAGCTACGGTGTACCTGCTTGCCTGCCATACGCACGTACCTACATACGTGTATGCGTACATGCGCACGCTCGCAAAGAACACTGCCATAGGCCCGACTTTAGTTGCAGAGCTCACCAAGGGAGAAACACAACGCACCCAACACTCAACACTCTATAGGCCCCTCGAGTGTCCCGTTGCCTACGATGAATGTTTTCGACACCAAGCTGAGAAGACAGAACGTCCATCAGCGAGCATAAGAATGTTTCCAGCTGAAAACGCGAGGAAAGCAGCCTGAAGCAGATGTGATGAAGCAATAGGTCGAAATCGCGAGGCTCAACCTTCACGGCAGCGCCGAAATTCGCGGAGCCTGAGCCCCTCCATCTACCGCAAGCAGCAGGTGCGGCGGCCCAGCACCTGTGATGAACATTCGAACAGAACAGAGTACAATACACCCCTAAACCCTGCTACTCTAGCAAGCTGTTTGGGCTTCGACGAGAAGTGTTTGCGAATGCAGGGCTTGTAGAAGTTTCTGCGCACACTGTTGAATGTCTCCACAGAGTGGCCAGGCTCTCCTGAGAGTATTGCAACCTGAACACTTGCAAACCATGAAGCTGTGATAGTGAGGGCCTTTCGCGCCTTCAGTTGGATAGCTGGGGTACCATGCAAGGCTCAAGATGTTGTTGCTTCTCCT